ACAGCAGTGAGAGCTAGTTTTTTCGTATCACCAGCTAAAAGCGAAACAAATCGATTAAAAAAAAAAAACGGAAAAAAATCGATTTCGATATTTTTCATAAAATCATTGCTCACATGTGCTCCAGTCGTGTACCTTCACTCGGCACTACTCTTTTTATCTTTCATCACAAACAACTGTAGCTAACATGAATGAGAGGACTGACTGCCCACGCTTTTCGAGTTGCTCCAGTTGCACGGTGGAAGATTGGTTGCTTAATTGCGACCACACTCTCGTCATTGTGCACTATCCCCAGCTATCCTCTGAAACCTCAAAAGCACTCGCTGCACTCCACTTCACATACTATCGTAGAGTCGGTCGGAGGGCACTCATCCACAGCCCGCATATTAGAGATTTTATCAATGGCAATTAGTCACTGCCGCAAGCAAAGCTGTTCATAGTTCCCTTCTGCCGAGCATTATTTCAGCTTGGAAACAGAGATGGCTTCCCATCTCAGTTTACTCGAATTTTCCACGCTTGTTTCCCATCATTGCAGCTCATCCAATTTTCAAATTTGAAACTCTTTTTTTTTTGAAAGAAAAACATCTCTGAAACTTTCCAGTGTTATTCCATCTCCCAAAGTTGCCAATTTCTAGCTTTCTTTGCATGAATGACATAGGAGAAATCAGTTTGTATTTAAAGCTGCAGGCGACCAGGATGCAGATAGAGGTGTAGATTTATTCGAGCCTTATAGTCCTTTGCCTCTGTAAGATCAATGACTTAAATTCAGTTTTTTCCCTCGCATAAGCTGGAGTAGATTTGTGCGAACAGAGATAAGCCGTCGTCAAGTCCAGATACATTCATGCAAATATGATCGAGCCATAATGCGTTTTCTTTTTGCGTTAGTGCAAAAATGGACAAAAATCGAAAAAAAAAAAAAATAGGACGTCTAGAGTCAGCCATTTCTGTTTGTGTGTATATTTGTGTGAGTGCATGTGTGTGTATGTATGTGTGTGTGTGTGTGTGTGTGTGTGTGTATTTGCATGCATGCAGGACACCCTGAATCAGTCCTTTCAACCACTGAGCCAATTTGGACCAAATTTGTTGGCTTGTTCTGCAGGCTCCAGAGACCTTTGGCAGTTTTAACACCAATTTTATATATCCCATCCCCGCTCAGCTTTCTTTCATGAATTGACTGCGAGTGTTATTTGCTCCAGCGCACACGAATTTGACTCTCGTCTTTCCATTTTAGGTAGTTCCTGCAAATGTTTGCAGCTAATGAAATTATTATCACATAAAACTACAAGCCATTGAAACCTCACATATTTCAGGGTGTTCTACAGGTAACAACCCTTACTCGTGTTTCCGCATTTTTCAAATTTTGATGCTTTGGCCGTAAACGGAGTCCATTTGCATAAATGAGTATTGACCGGGAAGAAGCTTCA